GCTTGCACAACACTGTGCCAAAGTACAGCCGCGCAAAGTACAATGTTGAATTTGGGTCTCGATTTACACCGATTTAAATCGATTTAAGTTTAAATCGGGCATGGATTCAAGATTCAAGATTCAAGAATCCAGGCCAAACTTTTCCAGGGAATCTTGAATCCAGGCGTCGATTTAAACCGATTTAAACCGATTTAACTTAAATCGGGCATGGATTCAAGATTCAAGATTCAAGAATCCAGGCCAAACTTTTCCAGGGAGTCTTGAATCTTGAATCTTGAATCCATGCCCGATTTAAGTTAAATCGGTTTAAATCGGTTTAAATCGACGCCTGGATTCAAGAATCCCTGGAAAAGTTTGGCCTGGATTCTTGAATCTTGAATCTTGAATCCATGCCCGATTTAAATTAAATCGGTTAATTCGGTTTCAATCAAGCCTGAAGCTTCCAGAACATACTTGGAAATGCTTCTTTTTCATTGCTCTCCCCAAAGCCCAAAAAAGGGTAGAAAACACTGCAAACACCAGTGAATTCATCAACAAGGTAGGTCCCTGGGGGGGGTACCATATATATATATATATATCTATCCGGGGGCAACATAAATTGAGGGGCACCTGAGTTGCTCATGCCACCAGAAAAACCTGACAGGCGATCCGGGAGATCCTCAAGGAGTTCCCGCAGCTGGGCAACAAAGGAGAACGCTGTGTTTGTGTGCGGCTGTTTTCAACAAATGGGGCCCAAGACTGGGTTCTGCCAAACGCTTCCATGGGCTTGAGTTAGTTATACATTTGTAGATATATGTCGATTTCACTCCTGTTTTGTGCGGAAGGGAATCTATTAGACTCTGGAGATGTATTTTCCCCGCAACTTAAGCAAATAGAGGAATACTTTACGCGAGTGATGGTAGTGATAGTGGTTTATAGCTGGTAGTGGTAGTAGTTTTGTGAATGGTAGTGGTTTCATGCATGGTAGCAGTGGGGATAGAGGTAGTCATCATTCCTTCAATGGCAGCAGTTTTGCTTGTGGTGGTGTTCTACTATGGACGAACTGAGTGATTTTCTGCAGCGCTTTCAACATCCAGAAGTCCCCAATCTAGGACACCAGTCAAAAAAAGTACAGGGAGGAGGTCTTCATTTTTTTCCGGTGGATGCTGAAAGAGCGAACCAATCGGAAACAGCTGGAAGCCAGGATTGGAAGTTGGTATGTGTCAAAGAAGGAGCACCTCCAAAGATTCTTAGTTTACTTGCGTTTCCCCTTAAACCAACCACAAAAAGGGCACCCTCCCAAAAAACAATCACACACACACACACACACACCCAACGCCCCTTCTATGTTTGTACAGATTTAAACGGTTTGACCGATGCAGCCAAGTCACGACTGTGCAGCTTACGTCCCATGCTACCTTTTTTGCCCGTTTTTTTTTTTTTTTTTTTTTTCCCGCGCAATTGGATTTCAGGTAGCCCTTAGTTGGTGGTTTGGACTGGTGGTTTGGGGATTTGAACCTCTGGTTCTTGAGGAGGGTATATCGCAAACCACCCCCTACCCTCCAAGTCATTAATTTAAGTCACCAACGATCGGTTACCTGTGGATCTGAGCGTCCACATGCGTTGACAACACCCGACATTCAGGACCTTTGACTGTGTCTGAGGCACGAACCGTTCCGAGATGGACATCAAATCTCGCAATCGGCAACCATGTCAATGAACTTTCATGACTTCAATTGCGGAACCTTTCATCTTGGAAGTTTTGCGAAGAGGAAGCTAGACTTTGTCCACCAACCTGTTGACCTTAAGCTCTTGTTGGCTGCGCGCAGGCTTGAAACAAGCAAGAGGTCCAAGTCAAGTCAGTCTGCGAGAAATCTCGGGGGCTTTGGTCTCTTCGTCTTATTCTGCTTCTTCTGCATCTTCTTCTTGTTGTTTTTTTGTTTATTTCCTTTTGTTTTAATTTCATGATTATTATCTTTTTCTTGTTTTCTTCTGCTTCTTCTTCTTCTTTTTGTTCTTCCTCTTCCTCTGCTTCTTCATACTTTATTCTTCTTCTTCTTCTTCTTCTTCTTCTTCTTCTTCTTCTTCTTCTTCTTCTTCTTCTTCTTCTCTTGCTACATGCGCCTTCTAGACCGGTATCTCCCCCAACCATCGCTCACTTCTTGGCGGGCCAGCCACTCAGCCGCAGGAGTGGCCGAGATCATCGCTGCGGGGCGCCCCAAGAGCGCCCGCGGACCCCTGAGCCAGCCAAAGCCACGTGGGGGTGGATCCATTGGAATCCATAGTCCCCCAAATTTTCAACCCATGAAAAGAATGGCAAGGACCCAATTTGGATGACAATCGTTGGGTCAGCAATGGTGGCATAGGTGTCCTTTTTGCTTGTTTTGGTGGAAAAATAGATGGCACTGGTTTACCTGGTGGTTTCATCATCCACCAGGGCCATCTATTTCCCCTAAAAGGATACCTATGAATGGTGGTTAGATGAAGCCCCATTTTTTGAATAGTGGTTTGAACCCTAGCGATTTCCTTCGACCCCCAAATGACCAATGGTGACTTTTTCCCCATGTGGTGAACGTCGTCTTTTTTCGTGGTCCTTGCGATCAAGCCCCACATACTTTCAAATAATTTGGGAGGGAGCTGTCGAAAATGCGGCCCCTTTGTTTGACCCTTATTTTTGAAGGGCGTGTTTAATCCTGGTGTGACCTTGTGCCGACAACCCAGTGCTCTGTGCAGACCACAGCGCCAGGCAAGTCATTTGTGAAGAGCTACACAGCTCAAACCCATTGGTATTCTTCCATTTGCTGAAGGCAATGTATTGATTTTCCCCTGTTGGCTTTGAAGGTGGAAATATTTGCTTCCAGGGAACTTAAGCAAATGGAGGTCTTTTTTCTTCAAAAGGAAGCCCAAAGGGATGGTGATTGGCCATTTTTTGCCCCCTGCTTGCCGCACGAAAAACAAACGCCCGTTCGGCTGAAGAGCGAGCCGAGAATGGACTGAAGTGCTACAGGACTGCGCCTGATCTTGTCGGTGTTGTCCACTGCGCCCCAAATCACTCCCGAAGGGAAGATGGAGTATATACCTGGCTATATACTTGTTATATAATGGCTATATACTGGCTATATGTGTTACCAAATGTTTTCCTGGGGGTGCTGGTGTGGCGCGGTGTTCCATCTATCCAAACTAATCGATCAGGTGAATTGAGCCGCTCCAAACGTCCAAAATCGGCCCCAGCCACCCGGCTGGAACCTTCGAACTGCAACTCGCACCCAAAACGACGCCCAAAGTTTATGTCGGATGGTCACGAGAGACGCCTTTGTTCCAGAAAGTTGCGGACATGGATAGAAGTTGGCAAATTGATGTGGGCTTTTGCGGGTCTTGATTTTGAGCATCTTAGCTTTGTTGACCAACTTGAAGCTTTTCGTTTTGGCCACCCTAGGAAGTGGGTTGTAGATAGGCGTAATTACTTGAGGCAGGCTACCCAGAAACTGCTTCGTCCTGGTCCTCGGCCCATTTGTGCCTCTTATCTTTCCGGCTATTTGGTGCCGGATCTTTGGACTTCAAATGGAAAAGGACGAATTGTCCATTGGACCCACAAGAAGTTTGAAGCACTTTTTTCAGAGGGGTGCTGCCAGCACACGTCAGAAGTCCTGTCAGTCGAGTATTCCGATTTGTGCCAGCGCTGAGGTGGCGCTCCACTTCAACCAGCAGGCGGATGTCAACTCCATGCCAGGGCCGCAGGGATGACTGGAGCCAATGGCATGGCCCTCTGAGGGTTCGGACCCCGAAACGGTGGCGGGCTTCCCTGCAAACCAACCTAAAAAGAGTACCCTTATTGTTGTTTGACACACAAGGCATGGCATAGTTCCCTACACCTTCTTTGTCTTACACGGCTTTGCCAGCTTTGGAGTACCCTGAAAAAGCAAACCAATCATTCTTGCGCAGGAAGTGCCGGGGAAATGGACCCCTTTGGATTCCTTTGTGATTTGGGAACATTTGCCAGACGAACGGGCGGCTGAGGAAACAAGACCAGGCTCAGAAAGGCAAGTATGGCCTCTGACAAGCGGCAGTTGGACCAAGTTCTGTTTGTTTTGTGAGGGAACCAACTGTTGGGTGGTTTTTAATGGTACACAACTGTTGGGTGGTTTCAATGGGAGACCAACGGGGGGGGGGGTCCCCTAAAAAAGGACACCCATTTGGCATTTTTTATTTATTTGTTTTTACGGCAGACGAAGGATGGTCAGAATCTGAATAAGCAAGACACAGTGTACTCCCGAAATGGTCCAAGATAGGTGTATCTCAAACATGGGGAGCTGACATATATCGTGTAGCCAGTTGAGTCATTGGTGTTGGACTAGCATGGAATAATCTTGACAGCGGGTCAATCACTATCAATAACTTGCCATGTTTAGAAGATCTGAGAAATGGACTCACCGACTTCCATTTCCCTGTTAAGTAGGTAGCCAGGAGAACCAGCCCTTAAACACCAAAAGGAGCATGGCTGGCTACCTAGCATATAATAGTTGTGCAAACCTAGTGATATGCGTGTGAACTCTTTTGTTGCCGTTTTACTTCGCAAGACCTCAGGACGGGCATGACCAACCCCCGAAATATTGTCAGAGCTCTGCCAAGAACTCAGAAGTGAAGAACCTTTTCGGGGGGAAGGGGCCTTCTCTCAGCATCATTTCAACGGCCCCTTCGCCTGCCGTTTGACCAACTGCTCAGCTTCGAGACTGACCGAGTCGCGGACCTAGTTTCTTGGCTTGAAATCGCAGCCGTTTTCATAGCAGCGCCCAACGTACTGAAGACACACGGCAGAACCTGAGAGCTCACAGAGTTGCTCACAGCCAGGAGTGCCACAGAGGTCCCTATACTTCCCTGTTTGGTTTTTCACTTGTGTGACCCCTCCATCACCTTGTTGTCAACTGAATCCGAATTTCCTTTTTTGTTTTAGAATCCAGTGGAAGCCTTGAGATTCTTTTTCTTTTTGAGAAATCCGGTCCAGCCACCATCGCCTGCATGGCATGTGTGGCTTGGTTGGGGCGCTGGCGCTGACACTGTTGGCACGGCGAATAGCATCTGTGCGGCTCGAGCGGCGCTTCTTCGTGTTGGAGCAGTTGCACAAAATGTCTAAATAATCAGCTTACCCCTAGTTGGTGGTTTGGTGGTTTGGATTTCTTGATCTGAAGCCCTGGTTCTTGTAGAGGGTAGATGGGAAATTCCTCCGGAACACCACCAAACCACCAATCCAAACCACCAATGGGAAGGAAGCTGCAAGCTGAAATCAGCCCCGAATTCCCAAGCTCAGGCCCCCCGAGTTGGACTTTCAACTCTTTGGGCTTGAGCTTTGCCAATCCACGCATGAAGTGAGATAGACAGGGACATCAAAAAGAGGTTGTTAAACAATTTGCAAGAAAAGGTTAAACCCAGGGGAAACCAACCATGTCTGGAATTCCCCCTACAAAATGCACACCCAGAAAATGGTTGAAGCATTTCTTGTTGCAATCCTTGGCTTGGGAGACAGCCGGCGTTTGGCAGTTGGACATCCTTGTTGGAACGCCTGGGGCTGCACTGACACGTTTGGGTGTGGTTGGAGAAGAAACGGCTTTCGGGGTATCCATTTACCTGCATAGCCAAGGGAATCTCCCTTCAGAAACCAGAAGGAAATAGTTGGTTACTTACTATAAGGGCAACTGGGATCCACTAGGTGTATTTTGAGGAACCCACGTTTTCCATGATAAGTACCCCCATTCTTGGTCAGGGGTTGACATCATCTCACAAAAAAGTGGCCATTTGGAGAAATCTGGAACAAAGCGATTTTTGGACCCCCCCCCTCTGAAGGCGGGCCAACATGAAACCTAATGGCCCCTGATGTGCATGCTCACCCGGGTGTGTGTTTTCCTCTACGGTTTTGCAGAAATGGCTCGCGGGTTTCTTTTGGGCTTGCCTTCAGGCACGCCAAACACGATATAAAACAGGGCCGTCCTTTCCAATTCTAATGAAAACAGATCCCTTCTTTTCAACCATCGTTCTTTCCAATAAGTCATTTCCCTTCTTTTCAACCAGCTTTTCTTTCCAACAAGAGTCTTCTTCCGTTTTTTTCTTCTTTTCTTCTCGCTGTTTGAACGGTTCGACTCCCCTATGACGGCTTACACCTCACCGATTCGGGGGGTGTACGATCTGTGGGTGCCCTTCTGATCCAAGTCTTTCGGATGTTGGAGCTATAAAAGGGGCGTGGTTCCCATTGGTTCTTACGCCTTTTTCCAAACCCAAATAGCATTCTCCCACCACCGGAGTTCCGTTTCGGACTTTCGCCACTGTTTTCTTTTTTGCTCCATTTGAGTGGCAAGCAACAAGGTTTGATTCCTTTTGCCAGTCCACCTGGGGCAGTGAGACGGACGGTTGGACGCCAGACATTTCTTTGGTGCATTTTGCTTGGATGCTAGGATTTTAGCTTTTTGCCAATTAGTGGGTTGTCCATTCAACCGCTGAAAGTTGGTCACCTTCAGCAGGGGAGCAGAAAGCAACTGAGATTTCCAGCTTCAGGAGATCCCGCAGAACCTCAGCCGCGTGCAGACGGAGTGCCATGGGGAGATTGGCGCCGCGGTGGGAAATTAGTTGGAGGGCGTTGGTTTTTTTTCAGGGTCACCCTGTTTGAGGTAAAGGACAACCCCAAGAAAACCAGCCACTTGGTGGGTTCTGATACCAGCATTTGAGGGGGGTAAACTAGAAAGTGGAGTTGCTTAATCTATTATTCATTCCTTCAGAAGAAAAAAACCTCTGTGAATGCAAACTAAGCAAAGTTGGGTTAAATTCTACATGAACAGTGTTTATATTACAGATATCGGAACCCCAGAATGGTTGAGCCACCCATTTGCACGGTCGGTCCTTGACTGCTACGAAGTGGATTTCGTAGGATTCTTCCCCTGAAGACCATGAGGCCTTATTAAAACCTCATTTGGGGGAAGCCAGGAAACTAGGGGGAGGGGGAAATGGGCGAAGTAAAAGGTAAAAGAGCTTGCCAACATTCCCTCGCTGAACCCCCTTCAGAACCCTATCTTTCCGTTCTCCTTTTCGTGAACACTCAACACAAGTTCCTCATGTCCGAAATTGGCGTTGGGAAGACTTGTTGTGTCCAGGCGCTCTAAGTTGGGTGACATTGGATAGCACAATTCCCGTCATTTTGGTTCCATGCCCTTTAATGTGCACACTTAAAGAGAATCGAGCCATCTACTGTTGCCCAATATGTTGGGCACAATGAAAGTGGTGAGTTTGCTTGAAGGGCTCCATCCAATTGCAGCCGTTTCACTTTGTCCAAGAGGAGTCCCTCGCTGTTGAAGCTAGAGTTTTAGGTTGCCCGTTTCTGTGCCAAGGTTCCTTCAATTTGTTCAAGTGGTGGGAATGAGTCCATGCTGGAATCACCTTGGGGTGAGTTCCACGTGAACTGAAGGATTCAGAGCCAAGGCTACCAATACTCCATGGAGATCTACTTCCTGGATTTCTTGCACTTGCAGCCCAGCTTTAGGAGCAGCCGACATGGAAGACGCACGTCTAGGGGCTGAATATCCCGTGCGAACAGGATAACACTAGGTCAGATGTAAGTACCACAGCCATTCTGTGTTTTACGTCAGGGCTCATGACTACAAGATCGGATTACGAAATGGGACCCGTTTTTCAGTATTTTGGTGGACGATGGATATTGCGCATGCTGCACCCCCAGCATTCCCAGCAGGCCCAGACTTCGCAACAAGCAACAAGCCAACATATCGCATCACTTGAGGCATCACTGTACCAACCAACCATGCCCTCCCCATGATAGAACCAGCAGGCTTGGGGAAGCTTGTCTTCCAGAAACCCGTTTGCTTCCATGTCAATCGGACACGCCAGGACCCAAAACTGGCAGGCGGCCGACTTCATCTGGGTGGCGCAGTGTGTCTCCAAGGCAGCATGGTGGAATGGATTTCGACCCAAGACCTCCACTACTTAGATACTTAGATGGTCTGGGAGGAATCGCGTGGCTAGCTTTGCCCTGGGAACCCACTTGCAATGGTTGTCAGTCCCCTGCAACTAGGGTTAACCATTTAGCGATTCGTCCCAGACCAAAGTAGGATCCCACCTCACAGGTCGGCACGGTACGATGTGACTGCGCCTTGAGGGGGGTTGCGCTTGCCCGCCTCCAGCCTTTGTGCCAGTCGAAACGAGGGACAAGCTTTCTTCGAGGCAAAGAATGATCAAGCACAAGGGTGCCTGGGCCTGCAAACTACCCGGCAAAAATGAGAATCACCCCAGAAGTTTGGTGCAACCACCCCCATTTTTGTTGTGGCAGTTTGAGATTTCATGGTTGATTCCCTTTGCACGAAAATGGCTGAGTTTGTGGGGTTTGGCAGGAAAACAACCCACGTCCTATGGGTACCTTGGTCCTTCAGCGGAAAAAAAGGCAGGTCTGGCCAAACCACAGAATCTGGGGGGCAAAACCATATCACCTTCATTGTGGTTTCTTGAATCCTTGTGTTCAGTCTGAATTTTCATAGTTTGCCCATAGGTGAGAGCTTGTCCAAGGGCTTGGAAGTGTGGCCTTGCACGAGGTCTACTTTCACATCAGGGAGCATTTCCAGAAGAGCCATGAGGCCGGTCCGTGCCGGCACACTTGAAACACTGATCATCGGAAGGAGAAGCTTCTCCCTCAAATTTTGTGCTCAAGGAAGTCTGGTGGCACAGAAGGTCAATTCCGACCACAAATCTGACAGGTACTCCACCTCTGCGCTCAAGACGCGCAATACCCAGACCCGCGGGTCCCTTCTAAGGGAAATCAGAAGGAGGCTGTTTAAACAGGTGCTAAATCATGGTGTTTACACATGGAAGCTGTTTCAGGTGCTAAAGCATGTAAGTTGTTCTTACATAGGCATTCACAATAGAACCAAGAGCTTGGCCGAAGTGAGTTTGCTGAGGGCATGTTTCAAGCTGCGGGAAATTAGAAGGCTTGGACCTGGACCCTCGAAGCATCTTCAAACATATTGCAGCAAAGTTGTGTCGTAGCCCATTTAAGACCGTAGCTTGTCGGGATAGGCAGCTTGGTATTCATAGTTGCATCTAGTCTCAGTTTGCTTGAACTCACTTGCTAGTGAAATCCATTTGTTCAATCGAATACCTCCGGTGGTTTCAATTTTCCGTCGGCTGGTTGCAAAGCCACCTAGTGAACACGCTGAATCTTGTAGGATGGATAATCATCCGACCCTTTGATGAGTTATTCATGGAAATTGTCAGAGCTTCTCAGCTTCTCTTGAGATTACTGTGACCATGCCTTTGTTCACATGGAAGAACTTGTGAGACCTAGTTGTTCGACCCCCAAAAAGGGTTCCCTTTTTCTACCATAGTCACTGCTTGCAACTGGGGAGATGTCCCAAAATTGCGGAAATCTAGGAGGCATTGCGCTTGGCGGACACGGAGTACTTGCGTCCAGTGGCTCTATGGGCACAAGAACATCCTGCGTATCGACGCTTTCTAGGGGTCACTTGGCTTGGATACATGAAAAGGTCCGACCTTTCACTATTTTATTTTTCGCTTTTATTTTTTATTATTCAAGTTTGGAGAGGCAGTTTCCTGCAAACCGGCAAACCGCTGAACTTTGATTGGGTCCAAGACCAAAGTTTTGCTTGACCAGGGGTTGGTTTCTTGGGATGTGGGCAAACTATAGCCAGCTCACAAAGCGTTTTGTGAGCTCGTGACACTTCCTGTCTGAGGCTCGTTGTTTTTGGCAGGGGAACTCCTACCAATGGACTGTGTAGATCGCATTGGACATGGGACAGTCTGAAATAGTGCACGCCGGCATTGGTTTAGGTCACGTGATGCTTACGCATCATTCAATCAAGGGCCTTAACTAAAATGTGCTGTTTTGAGTTGGAGCATTTTGCAAGAAATTGCAGATGGATGAAGTTTTGGCAAAGCGGGGCTTGGCCGTGGAGTTTACCATTTTGTTTTTTGTTTTTGGGGGGGTAGAGCAGCTGGGAGGCCGGCTGAGAGTTTGGTCAGAGAAGTGCTGTGCCCTTGAACCAAAGGTTACGGGAGTCACGGTTATCCTTTTGGCGCGCCGCCAAGGTAAATCAAAGTTCTACGAAAACGAACAATGGGAAGGCAAAGTCCCTGAAGAGATCAAGTCGTAGTGGGAGTTTTACCACTAAACGGTGTCACAAGGGCCCCCACTTGCACACTCTGGATAGTTACAAATCTGGTAGTTGGGACAGATGAAACCGGATTTGAATAATGTTGACCCCATACTATCAACCCCAGTTAATCAATAGGCGGGTGTCCCTGGGTTGAGAGGGGAATCATTACTTTTGCAGGGCCCCCAACCCCCCCATTAAGAAACGGTGGTTGATGAATATGGGGTCAACAAGCTTACGAATATTTGTGTATTGTCCCTTGTTGGTTTTCAAGGGATTCTATCACGGGCATATTTCTATCATTCTTTCCAGGGGGCGAAAAAGCAAACGGATGCAACTGGTGCCTGACGTTGGATCAGCTAGCTGCCTGCGTCGGAGTGAGGCCAACTTTGCAACTGTCTACGCCATGGACTTGGGGCGGCAGGCATCGACGCATGAAGGGCGGGCGGGCGAAAACCGGTAACAACACATCCACGTTATAAAGGTGGTTTACTCACTCACGGAGTTCCTGAACATTCGACTTTTTGGGGTTTGGACTCCGTCCATTCTAGTAGTAAACAAAATCCGCTCAGGGAGTAAGTGTACCCTCTTTTCAGCCAGTATCAACAACTGCAACTTGGCGAGCCTTTATGGACGGGCATATCTAGGCCACCCCTAGGATGGCGTGAAAATATAGCTTGGCGGTTGCCCTTATCTAGTAGCCCAGTGCTTCCATTCTAGGTAATCCATGGAACTGCCCATTGAAAACCAGAAGTAAAATGACTGGTTATCGGCGGAATAGTGGCTTGCCTGGGATCATTCAACATTTATTCTGCTGCCACAATCAGCTGTATTGTTTACTTTGGATCCATCCGGACCGAAGGACCGCGCAAGATCATTGTCTTCAAGGTCCAGGATCCAAAGTTCACAAAGAGAGAAGGTTTCACACACTTCAGTGCAAGCCCCGCGGGTCTTTCCAATCTTTCTTTAGCCATGCACCTGCCGGACCTCCCTTGGTTTCCATTTTTCCTGGGAGGACTCCCTTGATTTCCTTTTGCGTTTTCGGGCTTGACCTCCGGCCCCCTTCAAAGACCAGCTGACCGCTTGGCGGACGAGGCTCTTGCGAAGGCAAGAGGAGGACCCCCGCTTGAAGTTGTTTCCCCGAAAAAGGCACGGTGGCGCTTACCGCGGAGATCCTTCGTCTTTTCTAGGGGTTGATTCCCCATTCTTTCCAGGGATCCTTTTTAGAAAACCACCAAACACCCAGGTTGGAAATGGCGATCGTTTTGTGAACAGAACGATGGCTGAAAAGAATGGAATTGGATGCAACTGCCAGATCTTTGGCGCAGGACTTCCCCGGCTCCCTGGAGCTCACAAGGCGGAAAAGCGGCTGCGGCTTTGAGACGTTTTTGCCCGCTCCAAGAGGAAGCCGGACCGTTTTTTGGGGGCTTTTCCGGTTTTGACGCAGCATGAAACGGCCCCGACGTTGTGTTTGCCCTTTTTCTCGCTATAAAAAGGCCGATGCCATGTGAGTGTTTCCAGTAGTTTTGGCCTGCTAGGCAAGATTCCCAAGACTGAGCCGGTCCTTTTGTTGCCCGTGAGGCACATGTTTGTCAGCGTTCCACCATAGTTTCACAGTGGCGACCCCAAATGGTCAACCCAAACATCAAGCAATCCTTAGTTGGTGGCTTGGATTGGTGGTGGGACTTGCACTTCGGGTTCTAGAGCGTAAATGGGAAGCAATCCCCTAAATTCCAAACCACTGAGAGGGAAGCTGAAAACAGGTTCCGTTCGGGTCACTAGGTCGCTGGTTGCACCTCATTTGCTTACAGTCCACTGGATTTCCCGGTTGCTATGTGGGTCTGAACGCGAAGGAAACAAAGCATCTTGGGTTTTTCCTAAGAGACACACCCATGTAGCGGGTTCCTTGGCAGCTTCTACTCGTGTGGCAATTGACCTCAGCATGGATTCCAGGAACTGGAGCGTGGGCGTGTTGGCGGGGGACGTGAATTGGCTAGAGCAGGCGCGGATGCGTCGGTTGGCAGCTGGCATCAAACAACTTGCCGGTGCGATAGGCAGGGAATGAGACATGGAATGACCCATATAAACCATCCAACGGGTGGTTTCCTTTAGGGGGACCCCTGGGTTCATTCTCAGCACCCTGGCTCGTTGCCTACTGAGCACCAGCAAGATAAGCTCTTGGCTCCCTGCGGTGTCCCTTTTAAGCAGCCCCAAAGTTGGTGTGCAGCTATCTTTGGGCAGTAAATTGTGTAAACACATGCTGGCTGCCCTTAAGGCCAAGCGTGTCCCTCCTTCAGAGTACTGTGCTCGCAGGAGTGGCGTGGCCACGAGCGATTCAGGCTCAAATTGCGTTCTGAATACGCCAGATGGCTCTGGGTCCCCTAGTGGTGTCTCGCGGAGTGTGGACTAGAATTATGGACTCCGCCATGTTGAACAATCCAGAGTGACAAAGTTACTTGTAATCTATCGTTAGTTTGGAGAGCTCCCCAAGGAGTCTAAAGAGCCTCGGCAAACCCGGCAGTCGGGGGTCATTGTTGGCGTGTCTCCGCGTGCTAGCTTGAGAAAACCCTTCAGACCTTTTGAGATCTCGTTCGCTGCCCCCCAAAGTCCAGCTTCTTCACCCATTGGTGAATCACGGAAGTTGAACATCCAAGTCCCCAAAAACTAGTCCCAAAACCCCAAAAATAATCACAGTGATACCACCTCCCCGCAGGTCCCTACCCTCCTCTTTCTCCTCTCCCTGCCCTCCTCCCCCCTTCCTCCCCCGCACCCAGCTAGGTTCAGGTCTTTCCCTCCGTTTCGGCGCCGGACCGCTGCGCCTCCGAGACCGAGTCCACAGCCCTTGGTCGGGCCTTTTTCCAGCTCCTTGGAGAGAGTTTCCCGGAACCCAAGGGGTTTCCCCAGCTTTGGCGGATCTCCCGTCGAGAAAACCGAACGGGTGCCCGCAAAAAATGCCGTACCGTGTTTTGAGGGCATTCTTTTTGTGGGTGGTTTAAACGAAGCCAAAAGGAAGACCACCTTTTGGGAGGGGTCCCAAAAAAAGACACACCCTAACAGGATTTTCGAATCCTGCTGCTCAATGGCACCTCTTGGATCTTTCCCGACGTCGCTTCGTGGTCATTGTGTTCAACCTAGGCGCGCAAAGTCCAGGGGTTGATACCCCATCCTCAATCCTCGCTCATTCGGAGCATCCGCCGTTTCCTTCGGGGTTGTGGTTTTCTCGAAAGAAGGATCCCGGGAACGCATGGGGAAGTTATTGTGCCGGGAATTCTCGCGAAAGTGGTGGACAGCGAACCGTGCGCATCTTCACAGAGCCCCCAATCTTTATGCCCAGATGTTTGGTTTAAACACATAACATTTGGAGGCCGAGACCCCGTGTTTTTGTAAAACAAACCACAGAGATTTCCCTTTGGTTCAAGCAGGACCTTGGGCAGGAACTTGGGTTTTACCAGTTTCTGGTTCCACGTTTGGGCGGAAACTTCGATCTTGAAGGTCGCAGCTAGCCCGATGGACAATGGGAGCTCCGGTGAAAAGACGTGGGTTCCTTTTGGATGAATCCACCCCCCCCATTTCCAACCCGCATGCGGCTTGCACGTTCCTAGGCCAAAAGGCCGCTGTCGGCTTGGAACGAAAACCAAAGGGAAACCAGGCGAAGGGTCTCAAAATTGGGCCGCACATTGGTCCGTTTTGTTTTTTTTGGTTCGGGCGCCCGACAAAGACAAAGAACCATGCCGCACAGAGCACGGCGTCCAGGGGCACTTGCTTCCCATGGTTGTTCCCGCGAGAGTTGGAGTTGCAACCCGCCAATTTCGTCTGAGGGAATCAGACTTCACCTTTGCCCACCTTTGGGTATCTACGTACACAAACGGGCGGCTTGAATGTGGTCAACACGTACATAGTTCCACTTCCCAATGATGATGTTTCATCGGATCTGGTTCCTAATCCCCGCTTTGAGTGACACTGGTGTTGATTCATTGGGGCCATGCCTTCGCGTTTGGCCTAGTGGTTCAGACACCATGTCTGGGTTGAAGGAATGCGTCCTTTGCCCTTTACACTCATTGCAGGGGGTCGTTGGCCAGATTATGTGTTGGATCCAGATTGTTTCGGGGACATGCCGGAGCGGTGAGGCAGGATTTTGTGATCAACATCCCCACGCCTTTCATGGGCACAGGCGTGGCTGATTTCGATTTCGGGGGGGGGATCTGTGTTTCCGGGCCTGGTTTTGCACGTGTCCGGATGTGTCCCCAGATGTGGAATATGTGAGCAAGCGTGCAGGTACGCAGAGATCCACTCATCCAGATGTATCCAATGGGTGGATGGGGATTACATGTGCTTGGAAATTCGTGGCTGCAAGAGGTCTTTCTATCACGCCCGGAAAGGGCCTGTTTTTTTTGGTTTGTCTGCAAAAGACCAGGTAAATGGTCAGTTTGTTCCATGACGTCCTGTGAGTTCTCATGGTGTCAGCTCTGTCGAACGTGGCCAGCGGAAGTTTCAAGCCCAAGCGTTCGGTTGCCTAGAGTCCGGCCCATGTTCGGTAACGAGAACAAAACACATAGTGATTCGCCATGTTCATGGTAAAACCAAGGGAAACACTGGAAGAACAACTCACCAACAGGTAAATGAGTGTGGCTCAAAATTAAACAGGAGGGGGCAAACCGCAAGTTTTCGGGGTCCATGTTTCCACTTACCAGAGCAACCCATTTTGGAATTCCGGTTTTTTGAGCCACAGCCAACTCACCAACAGGTAAATGAATTGGCACGTGCTCCTCTTGGCTTGGCGACAAAGGATCGATCATTCTGAGGCCGTCCAAGCACCGAGACACCCAGGCTGGGGGTGGGGGGCAAGTGGATTCCAGCATTTGCGGATTCCAGGGTGGGCAAATCAAAGCAGAGCTTAGGGTTGCTTCCTGAGCCATGCAAGTTCCTTGCGTGAGCCGAAATTTTGGATGAAGTATCGTTCACCATGCCATGAACCACGTATTCAGACACCCAGATGTCACCCGCATTGACACGTGAGGGTGACGCAGGTTGCCTTTGGGTCCTACAAATTGGGAGCTGAGATGGTGCTAAGGAATCCAAGAGAAAACCCACCCGTCCTTAGACAAGGTTGCCTTCATTTTCCCTTTTGGCACCTTCAGAGGGTGAAACTGAGAACCACTGGTCAATTGCCAACTTTTAAAGGGGAAATCCTGTGACGCCTGTGAGGGGTTTGCTTGAGCAAACGCGCCGTATCGACGGATGCTGAGCAAGGTCGATGATCATGACGGGCCATGTACCAAGGCTTACCCTGCAGAGGCCGTTTTCATTACTTGAGTGCCTCTTTTTAAGTTGAGGAACTAAGACCTTTAAGAGTTGATAAAGATGTGTACGGGCCCCCTGAAGCTGGTGATGTTCCTGTCAGTTTCCCATTGAAGACCATCCAAAATGGCGTCTCCGCTTTGAGGAAGCACCCTGAGTGTGTTTGCCCAAGCACCCAAACAGCGCTTCGTACCAACTCTGGCATACTGAGCTCCACTTGAAGCATGACACCCGAACTTGCTTTCTCTAATCCAACCCAGACAGCCCAAATCCGAACCTGAACCTCCCCGTCTCACACACCCCCGGCCCAAAACCCTCCCCCAGTGCGCTCCATTTTTTCCGGAGCTTACGGTGAGCTCGTTTGCCCGAAGCTCACCATGAATGTCCTTTGCATGACCCCTTAGTTTGAAAATGTACTCTCCGACTAACATGGCAGCTAACAGGGCGGGCCCTCCACAAGGAAACTCATCTTTTGGGTAAGCTCAGAATTAGAGTTTGGAGCACGCTTTATCTCTCTCTCTCTCTCTCTCTCTTTCTCTCTATCTCTCTCTTTCTCTCTTTCTCTCTATCTCTCTCTTTCTCTCGTTCTCTCTCTCTCTCTCTCTTTCTCTCTCTCTCTCTCTCTCTCTTTCTCTTTCTTTCCTTCTTCTTTCTTTATTTATTTCTTTATTTCTTTGTACCTTTTTTTTTGTGTCTTTCTTTCTATATTTCTTTCTTTCTCTTTCAGTTTCTCTTTATTGAAATCGCTAAGCGATCCGCCGACGCCAGTGGACAGTCCCCTATTAATAAACTGGGGCTGATCAATCTGGAGTCAGCACTGGCTCATCACGTGGGGCGCTTAGCGCATGGAAGGAGAACCCGCCTCTGACGTCGGCTGCAGGGTGCTTCAATTTTGGGTAAGGAAAAAGACGTTTTTTTGCCTAGGTCACATGGGGCTCCTAACGCGTGGAAGGAGAACACAAACAGCGCCCGTCTGACGTCGGCTGGAGGGTGCCTTGAATTTGAGGTAGGGAAAAGACGTTTTTTGGCCTAGGTCGCGTGGGGCTCTTAACACGTGGAAGGAGAACAAACGACGCCCCTCTGACGTCGGCAGCAAGGTACCTTGAGTTTGGGGTAAGGAAAAAGACTCTTGGTTTTTGCCTAGGTCAAGTGGGGGTCGTAGCGCGTGGAAGGAGAACGCTAACAACGCCCCTCTGACGTGGGCTGCAGGGTGCCTCGAATTTGGGCCGGAACAAGACGTCTTTTTGCCTAGGTCACATCGGGCTCTTAACGTGTTGAGGGAGAACACAAAACCCCCTCTGACGTCGGCTGCAGAGTGCCTCGAATTTGGGGTAATGAAAAAGACGTTTTTGTGCCTAGGTCGTATGGGGCTCTTCACAAGTGAAAAGAGACCAAAAGAATGCCCCTCTGACGTCGGCTGCAGGGTACCTCAAGTTTGGGGTCAGGAAATTGTCGTCTAATTGCCTAGGTCATATGGGTCTCTTGACGCCTGGAAGGAGAACAAGCAACGCCCCTCTGACTGCAAAGTACTTTGAATTTGGGACACACGGGAGTCTTAACGCGTAGAAGGAGAACAAACAACACCCCCCTAATCTGCCTTGACTTTGGGGCAAGGAAAAAGGCATTTTTTGCCGAGGTTGAATTTCGGGTTAGGAAAAAGATGTTTTTTTGCCTCGGTGACATGGGGCTCTAACGAGAATACGAACAACGCCGCTTTGACCTCGGCCGCAGGGCTGAACACGTGACAGCAGAAGAACACTAGCGTCTACTCTTTAAACCACCCCCCTCAAGGGTATAAAAGCAACGCCCGAATTTTTTGCAAGTGCAACCGCACAACTTACAGGAACAGACCCAATCTTCGCGCTCAAGATTTGAAGACTTTCAGACACGCAACATTGACCAAACACACCAAAATACCAGAGATGTGGGGAATGCTGGGAATGCAGCCGGCTAGCCACAAAAAAATGCAAACAAAAACATGGTTTTCCAATATTTCCAAAAGCAACCATCAAAAACCGATACTAGCAACCCCCCTCAAATATCTTAAAAATAGACTTCCAAAAGCACGACAATGCAGGGGATGTTTCGCAGCAACTGCTCCGTACAGGTGGGGAATTGCAAAAAAACACTCATTTTGCAAATCTCAATACTTCCTCAAAGTATCACTGCACTTGGCCCCACCCAAACCCCTAACAGGCCAATTCCAACATCGCTTGATCTGCAAAAGAATGAGACAAATTCATGGCAATGAGATAATCCTGATGATGCTGGAGAGATCCTGCGCGTCCGGGAACCCCCCCTAGAGACCTAGGCGAAACGCAGATTTTAGCACGAAAGACCCAACAACACTGGAAAAAATACAGGGTTTTGGACATCTAGCGCAGCATGCCAAAAAATAGAAGTCCCAAAAGCCTTCGGCTTTGATAAGAGATTCCGAAGGAAGACCAAGTTGCGGACGGCCATCTACATGCTCGACTGGCGTCGGCGGATTTTTCTTTCTCTGCATGTTGGTTATCTTCCTCTTCTCGTTCTCTTAATCTTTCGCTTGCTCTGCTTTGTCTTTCTCTCTGGCTCTGTCTCCTTGTCTTTCTCTGTCTCTGTCTTTGCCTCCTTCTCTGTCTCCGTCTCGGCCTCCGGATTCCTCCTCTTTGTCTTTTTCTGTTTCTGTCCCTGTGTTCTTCGCTTTCTGTCTCAGTGTCCGTTCACCTATTCTTGCTCTTCCTCTTCCTCTTTATCTTTATATTTAACTGTTCGTTCTCTGTATCTTTATATGTACCTTCTCTTCCTCTCTTTCTCTTTCCCTGTTTCAGTGTCTTTCTCTGTATCTTTATATGTATCTGTTTCATTCAAGTTGTCCCTCTGTGTTCTTGTTTATCTTGTTTTATCATTTGCCTTGACCTTTGCATATGCATATATATATATATATACAGATGCAAATATGCATATATATTTATATATATACACATATATGCATATATGTATATATATTTTTATATGTACACGTCTGTTTCTTCTTTTTCCCTTTCTCTCCCTCTCTCTCTCACTCTCTCTCCCTTCATTTTATTTGCTCTTTCTGTCTTTCCGTCTTTCTTTCGTTCTTTCTTGCTCTCTATGTCTCCAAACCACAAAAGTGAACAAGACATAGAATCGCGAGTCTTTTAGGGCCGATCCAACAAAAGTCCGCAGACGGTTTGCCTTTTGATGGCTGGGCACGCTGAAAAATGGTGACACAAACAACAGCTTTTTGAGGTTGACCCCCACCCCCCTGCCCCCCGAAAGTCCGCAGAGGGTCGGGCAGTCTGCGCACATGCCGAAGAGTCGAATTCGCGCACAGCCCCTTTTTCGGCTGGCTTCTATTCCCCAGTTCTCGCATTTTCCAGTTCTAGCACTACGGAAGTCTTTGTTAAACTTCCTTTGCTTGAACTTGGGGAACTAACTTAACCCAGACTTGATCGGCTTCTTGATTGGGGGTGTCCCTTTCGGGTACTTTGAGAGGAAGACCCCATTAATCTACAAGGTGCATCAATATAGGGTCATCATGAGGTTTCATTCAGGCTTCAGCCCCCTTAAATGGTCTGGGAGGAATCACCAAGTGGTTAGTAATCCTAGTTGTAGCTCATGTACGATGGTCCCCTACCACCAAGGGGTACCAACCATTTGGCCATGGGTCAAAAGCCCGTACCTCCAGTGAACATCCCAATCCCCACTAACATAGGCTAAAATGAATAGTGCACCTACCCCAAAATGCAATCCCATTGGTTTTGGCCCACAGCCACTTAGCGATGCGTCCCAGACCATCTAGGCCGCGCCTGGCCTTCTTCTCGGGCAGCCTCAATAGCTGCTCCCGGCGCTGGTTGCAGCGCCGGCTGCAAGCGAGCAAGATGCGAAGCATGCAGGTCCAGGTTACCCGGGGAAGACTCAGGGGTTACCGGCCCCCGTTTGGTTGCTATCTAAAGAGAAACTACCAGGAAACCAACCAGATTAGGGGACGAAGTTGAGAAATGCCCCAAGTTTTTTGTACGCTGAACCCACGCTCCACATATTTTGGGGGAACTCCCCAGATTAACGTGAACAAGGGGGCTCCCCCCCAAAAAGCTCTGGTCCTAAAGAAAATGTTTTCTGTGTTCTATGTCAAAGTAGGGCTAATTTGTTAATTTTCTTGGTAAACAAGCTGCTAGGACGATCATGCTAGTGGAAAGAATCAAGTCTAGACTTGTTGGAGCGATCAACTTAGGAAGTGGGTGACTGTTTGTGGTGACACGCGACAAAGCCGAGCTTTCTCGTTCTCAGGTTGCATCTTTTTGGGTCCTCAGATAAACATATTCGTTTTGGATCCCCGGGTTTGGTCATGTGGCTCGGTGAAAAGCAAACGGCAAGAACGGTCAATCGTCTAAGGTATGCCCTCTACGGAAATTTGGACCCCTCCTATGTGTGGATCAACGACTCCGGGCAGCAGGCGGGTTGAGCTGGGCTGGGGTTGGTCGTGTTTAGGTTTGGAATTGCAGGTCGGGAAAGGGACCAAAAAGCCTGATGGCAAGTTCATGGGACAAGCGAAATGCAAGGCCAAGAGGTATAGAACTGGTTAGCATTTGACATAACCCATTCACACCTGAAGCACATCCCCTTTCTGTGGTCATTTGGCGTACGTATGACCCTCACTTTGTGGTATTTGGGCGAGCCATGGGCTTTGCCATCAGGGAGTGTACGTGGCTTAGATTTCTTTGAGCAGGGTTGGGTCAAATGCCAGACCCAAGAAACCATTGAGTCTCCAAGACCCTCGTACAACGAGTGGATGTTCCGGGGATAACACGGGGTCATGAGGCAGAGCTGTTAGCCAGGCACTGTATGCGGCGGAGCTTGACTTAAGCGTCCGCCCACCAGCCAAATTGGCAATGTGTGTTTCGGGCTAATGGACCATGGGAAGTTTGCAGGCGAATGCAGCCCCGGACCCCCTTTTTCTATCTAAGTAGGCCTTCTCTTGGAACTCTGTTTGTTTTTCAGGATACAAAAACGGGTTTTCTTAGCCACCAAGTAGACACCCAGAAAAGTATTCTTTTGGAACGCTCTGTGCTTTTTCAGGATATGGTGAATTCATTCGTTTTTTTGCTTTTATTTTGCCCCCCCAACAAAGCTTCGTTTCTGGTGCTAGAAACGCCTGCATCCCCGTCCACTTTTCGGCTTTTTGGGTCGATCACAGGCGCTTGCCATTGTGTTCCTTTCGGATTAAGTGAAGATTCCCCGCTAAACCCAGGGCCACCTCCAGAAAACTGCGCCAGGGCATGTTGTCGTGTTTTCTGGTGTCTACATTGCGTTATTGTTGTTCTGAAATATGTGTGTGTGTGTAAATGTATTTTCTGTTTTAATGCAGTCCTGTGTTTGCAGAAAAGGGAAAAGTACAAGAAGCAACATACACAACCAACCAATATTCAGACAGTCTTTCCATTGGATCAAGCCTGCCCCAGACCAAACACAGCAAACAAGCTCGAGAAAGCCAAAAGACAACCAGCCTCAGACTCACTGTGCCAAGAGCATTGGGCGAATGTTGTTGTTTTATATGTATGCAGTTTGTTTTGTTTGTTTTTGTCCTTGGTTTTCGGCAAGGCTGATCCGTGCAACTTAAATACATAGTGCTTTAAATATTAAGGATGTGTAAAGAGATTCGATTGGACAGCAAATTATTTGTAAAGATTCTTTGGACATGGAATTATGTGTTTGTGTTTTTGACAATTCCAAACTATATTAAAAAAGATTGGATCCTTCCACATCGAATTCTGTTTAAGCTCGAATTTAATTGTAAACGTGTATTCTGCAAGAAATTATGTGTAAAATCCAAACTTAAGATACACAATCCAATAGGATTCGCAAGCTGAATTTTGGAGTGCGGCCGTTGGTGAAGATGTGAAATTAATGCGCAGAATTGCTAGCTGAATGTTTAAATGGAATTTAATAAGGTCAGAGTCCAATCATAATTTTCTATTTTAACTTCTAGTTTGAGCAAGAACTATTCCGTTTCAATATCAATTTCAATCTGGATGTCCTGTCCAATAGAACTGTCTTTACACATTTGGTAACATTCTAGCACAACGTATTCAAGTTTGGGATCTCTGAAATCGTTCCATATACAATCCTACTTGACGTCTCTATCAATTTCTCTTCAATGTCTAGCAGAATGTGTATTTACCTTAGAATTTGTATCATATGAGCGACTCACTTTATTTACGTTAATGGACACATGCAAGGGGCTGGAACTATTTTTTTTGACATGTGCATATTTAGCCGCAGAACGAGTTGGGGAACACCCCGAAAACGAGATAGGGCAAACAAGCATGATAACATGGATTAGGATGACATTTTGGCAAGTGCAGCCTGGCAGAGCGTCTTGGGTTCAAGGTTGTTAGATGTAGTGTAGAGTAGACGACCTACGTTGCATGGTCCGTGGCAACTTACCACAGACTTTCCGGGGCAAGTACTGGCCAACCCTACGATGCCTAACTGCAAAAGGGTGTGAAGCAAACTTGCGAAGAAGCAGCGTAGCTGGTTTGTTCAAGATTTGCCCCTGGGCAATTTTCAGCCGTCCAAAAGCCGGCCATGTTAAAACGAGTTCCAAAACGAGTTCAAAACGAGTTCAGAACGAGTCCCCTACAGCGTCCAAGTGAGTATTGGCCCAGTTCCTCCTCTCAAGTATTACTTTTCAACAAACTGTGTAGCAGCAGTTTGCTTCGCGAAAGGTTGTGCGGCAACAACGAAGGAGACAAAGGGGGCGGCAAGCTAACCAAAGCTCGTTTACTTCTTTAAGCTCCTCTTCTTCAAGCTCTACAGAAAGTTGAGCCAGATAAAACGAGCGCGGTGTTGGAAAACGAGATAGGGGGCTGCGACCGAGCGCGGGGTTGGAAAACGAGTCAGGAACACCCGTCCATTATGCCATGTAACAAATAAAAGCCGTTGCTCATATGTTTTCTATTTCAGTTTACAATTAGTCCAGGGCGTCCTGTCCAATACAGTCTACATTACACCTCAGTTAATATAAAAGCACAACTTGTTCAACAAGAGCGACAGCAAGCAAAACAAGTGCAAACAGCAAAACCAGACTTGCATGCACACGCAGCTCAACAATTAGCAAACAGTGCACTGTCACAGTCCCCTGCCCTCTTAATACGCTGGGTTGATGAACCCGGGGGTCGTATTTGTTGGTGGCCGGAGGGTCCTAGTCCCGATTCCAATCGGGCAGCCCACTTCTCATTTTTCACTTGAGCAGGTCATATCCATGGGCGAGGGTCTGGAGAATTGAAATTATAGTTCCATTGTCCCTTTCGAGGTCTACTCGAGCGCTCAATTAACTCCATGGACCCCTACAGTTCCTTTGTCTACCACCACCACAACTACCCAGATGCCCAGTAGCGCCCTCTTTCTCCTTGTTTTGCCAAGGGTTCCCTTTTAAACTCAACCACCCAAAAGAAGATGCCCGTGTTTTCTCCCATGGAGATCCCCCTGGAATCTGAGACCACCACCGAAAATGGAGGCCTTGGACATGGACACCTATCGCGATGCCATGGTGTCCAGTGGCTCGGATCGGGTGCACCTTGGTTGCTTGGATGCTCTGGGAGGAATCGCTCAAGGGTTATTGCCCTGGTTGTAACCAACCAAAGCAATGGTTGCAAGTCCCCTGCAACTAGGGTTACTAACCATTTAGCGATTCGTCCCAGACTGTTCAAGTGGAGGAAACCAGTGAAAAGACATACGACGTGGTTGGGGTGTCCCTATTTTCAGTCGCAGGACGCAGATTTCCGAGCTCCCGTCGAGAGCCGTTTTTTTTATCCTTTGGGAGCTTATTCTGCAGTTCAAGGCCGCTGCAAGCAAATTCCGAACCCCACAACAAATCAATTCCGGTGGTTCCACCTACAACTTTGGCAAGGGTATGTGTCAATAGACCTTCTTCCAAAGTGGCGGTTTGTTTGGATTCCTTCAACCTGAAAAGGGGCCCGAAGAATGCACACCATTTGAGGTCTCAAAGTGAGTTTCCTTGTGATCGCTTAGTTTGGCTAGAAACAGAGTCGGGTTCCATTTTTTTTTCTTTTTTTTTTTTACGAGCCGATGTTTGGGTGTGTCCTTTGTTTATGGTACCCCCAAAATGGCTGCGGTTGTCCTTTTTGCCTCAAAGAAAACTGCCCTCAACTAGTACCCCCCAATTGGCCTTGATTGGGTGCAACCTCTGGACTTTCATGGCGCAGCCCTTGGCCCCATTTGCCACGTTTCACATCGGTGGCCCGCGTGGCATCGAGGCCGTTTCTGTCTGGTGCTGCGTGGCAGCTCTCACAGCAACAACGTGCGGCTCAGCGAGGCTATGGCCCTGGGCTGCGTGCCCGTCATCGTCAGCGACGACTTCCAGCCCCCGCTGGTGCCCGGCGGTTCGGTGGTTCGGTTTGGGCGGGAAGGGGTTGAGCAAAAGAACGAAAACGGCACCTCGCTCGCGGAGCCATGTGTTACTTTATGTTGGCTAGGAACCATTTTAGAGGCACAACAGCTTGGATTTGGTTTTTGGCAATCCACTCAGGAAGTGAGTTTTGAGTGTCAACCCAGAGGATTAAACTATCCGCTCGAGTGAGGTTCGGAAAGATTGGCATGGCATCTACAGTTGGGGGATTTCTTAGTTGCCCCATTGCTCACGGTTATCCTGCCAATATTTTGGGAAGATAGGAGGCAACAAACCTTCATGGCGACTAGACCTTTTTGGACTTCCATTTGCTTAATATGTGTTGTTTTATATCCCCTGTTGATTTTCAATTGAATCTATCACTTCTGGCAATATGTTTTTTCCCAGTGGACTCAAGCAAATGGAAGTAGAAGGGCACAGTTAAAACAAAAAATATCAAAATAAAAAATAAAAAGAAAACGGGTTCCTTTTGCATGGACAGGACAGTCATGTGCATCCGAAAGGAAAGAACCCATTCGACAGGTCAGCGAACTGGTCCTTTCAGATTGGTTTCTCCAAGCTGAAAGGCCTCCGTGTCAGCCTCGGCTGTCCTGTAAAGCCCTGAAAAGGTGGCTATATTAACAGTTGTTGTTGTTTTAGGAAAGATGGGCTGTCGAAAGGGAATTTATACATACAAATATATATATATATATACATATATTATATGAATGGACACGTATATATTCTTTCGTTCCTTTTTTCTGGAGGGGGGGAGGCAGTTTTATGGGGGCCCCAAAACGGCGACTCGCGCGCATACCAATTTCTTCCGCCCTTTGGCTGGGGTTCGCCAAGCCAGATTGACAACTCCATGGCGTGGTTCAGAGTTCCGAGTGCCAAGAAGGAGACGGATTTTCCAAAGGCGACGCCTGAGCGTGTAATTACTGGTTTTTTGCGGGGGTAGCCTTTTTGGATGGTGTGGGAGTTTTAGAGTGACACCAAAAGGACACCATCCATTTTTAGGTTTTTCTTTGAGACAGACCCAAAACAGACGTTCTCTCTGCTTGAGCAAGGAGCCTTCGCACATGGATGGATCCAAGCTTCGACAAGACTTGTTTGCTTCAATACTCCTTAATTTGGATTGTCCTTTTCGAGGTGTGGCAGGGTGGTTTTGGAGTACATTCAGCCCGACTCCAACAGCGCTGTTTGGACTAGCAAAGGTTTCTGGCTGGCGGTAGTTTCCTCTCTTGTTGCTCCGGGGTCCGGCAGGTGATGTTCGCCTTTCTAATTGCTTCCGTTGGCTGAAATGGATATTGTTGTGTTCCTCTGATGGCTTTAAAGGGAATCCCTCACTACTGGACATGTTTTCTACTTCTTCCTGGGGACCGCCTGTTTGCAGGAGGTTGGTTTACAGGGAAGCGAAGAGGGGAACTGGTGTCTACTCTGGATGGGCAAAATCCGCTTTGCACCAGTTGGAATGGATGGCAGCTCATGAAATTTAGTTGATAGATCACACCTAGCGCAGGATTTGGTCCATGCACGGTACACGGACACATCGCCGCTTACTAACCTTATTCTGCCACAGAATGAGAAACTAAGACTTTGACAGGGGGAAAGCAATTCATTGGCTTGGCGAGGACAGTAGTCCAAAGCCCTTCTGTCAAACTTTAATGAATGTTCAAGAGAGGGTACTTAGTGGTTATTAACCCTGGGCATTTATTCCACCAATGGGTCAACTTCCATGATTATTGAAAAGCAAATGAGATTTACTGGGCAACCCCGTCACAAGTGGTTGGTGGACATGAATTCTGAATGATGTCCAGTTGAACAAAGTGTAAGCATAGGTGTCTTTTCTGGTTGTTTTGGTAGAGCATAGATGGCGATTCCTGACCTGGTTGTTTCACAATCTGCCAGGGCAATCTATTTCCAGCCGAAAAGACCTACTTGCTGGTTCTGACCCCTATATTATAAACCATCCCCTGAGGTTTCCTTCAAGGGAATCCCCCTCCGGTTCATTCCCAACACCCGGTCTCGGTCATTCCCTGAGCACCAACCAGCCTATATTCCTGCTTGACCTGGTGTACCAGAGCAATCTATACCAAACAAAACTGGTTGTAACCGCCAGTCAGGGGGTTATTGGGTTGGCCCATAAATGGAGGCGGCTACTTAGATACTCTGGGACATAGCTAAATGGTTAGTAACAATAGTTGTAAGTGGGGTACAACCAGGGCGGCTGTGGGTCAAAACCCATGGTACCATTTTGGGGTAGGTGAATTCACCACCCATTTTAGAACCTATTTCAGTGGGGATTGGGATGTTCACTTACGATTTGGATTTTGACCCATGGCCAAATGGGAGGCAGCCTTTGGGTTTTTTGTGTTAGGCGAAGGACTTGGACTGGCCGTCTTTGGCGCTCTTCCTACGGAGCCGGCAGCTGCCGCAGCTGTTGCAGATCCTCGAGGCGGCCGACGCGGCCGACGCGCGCCCGGCCGGGCGCTTGGCCGGTGCACCAAAGAAAGCTCGGTTGTGGGTTGGTTCGGTTGGCGCGGGTCCGGGTGGTTGTTTTTGTTTCTTCTGTGTGGGTTGGTTGTTTGTTGCTTCTCTTTGGTTTGATTTGTCCATTGGTTGTGGTTGTTTTGGTGTTATTTGTTTTTGTGGGTTGGTTGGTTGTTGTTCTTTGGGTTTAGGGAATGAGTTTAAGGACACGAAGTCTGAGCAAACTTTTTGGAGCTCGCGGATCAGGGGTGAAACGAGGGAACACCGTGATGAAGGAGCCTTTCCTCGACATGTCTCGATTTTCGGTTTGCGGACTATGGGAATTTGCCGGCAGCTGGGGCCAGTCGCAGTTGTTCGTATCTAGGGCCCCTGTTGATTGACGACGAAAGGAGAAGGTCAATGGGGAATTCTCAAAGTTGTGGCCCTTTTTGGGACCCCGCAACTTGTGCCACCAAAAAGGGCCCCTGGGTTTGAGGGCATTGCGGTACTGATTTTGGATCTCTGTTCCAGGTGCTGATATGGTTGTTTCATTCATATCATTTTGCCTTACGGAAGCTGAGATTGGAATATGGAAACCAATGCTAGCCCTGTCCCGTCTGCCAAAAGCCAGAAACTGTTTGAAGTGGGTTCAACCAATTTGCAAAGCATGGTTCCCAAACCAGTGTGCCCTACTTAGATGGGCTGGGACGAATCGCTAAATGGTTAGCAACCCTATAGGGAACCTGCAACCATTGTAAGTGAGTTACATCCAGGCAAAGCTAACCACTTCGCGATTCCTCCCAGACCATCTAAGGGGGCTGCAGCCTCAAACCTGATGCTGACCTTATTAATGCACAGTCTAGATTAACGCGGTCTTCCTCTCAAAGTAGAGGATTCCCGAAACAGGACGCCCCCAGTCTGGGTTGTGTTAGTTCCCCAAGAAGTAGCGTTGGTTTCGTTTGCGTTCCCTTCACCCGACTCTGGGTTTCTTTTGGGTTTCTTTTGGGTTTCTTTCTTTTGGGTTTCCCCAAACACCGGTTTTTTCTCGTTTCGTTTCGTTTATTGTCGTTTTTCCTCGGCTCAGGCGATGCAGCAGCGCCTGCGCCTTGGCAAAGGGGCTCATTTTCCGCGGGGCGGGGGGGCATCGCTGGAGTCCACGGGCCGAAGGTTTCCCCCGGACATGGGAGAACGAGGGTTCGTTTTCTGGGCTCGGTTGAAATTTGGTTCGCCCCAGGTTTTTTTTGGGGGAAGCAGAGGCCGCCGAATCTTGGACCAATCGAATGCATGCTCCGAGCCTCCGTGAGTTGGACTCGAAGAACTCTGCGGGCTTTGGACTAGAAGAGCTCAAAAGTGAGGTGAGTGTTTTTTCTTTCTTTTTTTGAGGCTAACCCCTTTTGGTGGCTGAAATGGACACCAAGAGGATTCCTAAAGCAAGACGAACCACCCAAGTTTAGACTTTCCGTTTGGCAAATCCACAGCGAGTGAAACGAGGAACCAGATTTGGTTGGAAGTTGGTCGGGTTTCCTTTGGCTTCGGGTCCAAACATCACCCTAGGACTGGGGCGGCTGCAGCGTTGGACTACTCCTTGCAGGATGCGCCATGTCTGAGGCGTTGGGAATCCTAGGTTGGAAGGCCTCATGCTGTGTCCAACTTGCGCAGGGGCTAAGAAAAGATAGGGTGACAGGGTGCCACCCGCATGTAGGCGAGAAGATGTAGGAATCCAAAGGGGAGCATACTTTGTGTTCTTTCTTTCTTTTCCCCACCCGGGTTGTTAGATTTTATGTTGGAATCCGCGTTTGCGATGCTTCTACACCACGCCCCCACCCAGTATCCCGCCAGAGCAGCTCGCCAGTGGATCCCGCCGAGTATCCCGCCAGAGCTGCTCGCCAGTGGATCCCGCCGAGTATCCCGCCAGAGCAGCTCGCCAGTGGATCCCGCCGAGTATCCCGCCAGAGCAGCTCGCCAGTGGATCCCGCCGAGTATCCGCCCGCCAGTATCCCGCCGAGAGCTGCTCGCCAGTGGATCCCGCCCAGTATCCCGCCAGAGCTGCTGGCCCGCCGAGTATCCCGCGGCTCGCCAGTGGAACCCCCACCAGAGCTGCTGGCCAGTGGATCCCACTCAGTATCCCGCCAGAGCTGCTGGCCAGTGCATCCCGCCGAGTATCCCGCCAGAGCGGCTCGCCAGTGGATCCCGCCGAGTATCCCACCAGAGCAGCCCGCCAGTGGATCCCGCCGAGTATCCCACCAGAGCGGCTCGCCAGTGGATCCCGCTGAGTATCCCACCAGAGCAGCCCGCCAGTGGATCCCGCCCAGTATCCCGCGAGCGGCTCGCCAGACGCCAGTATCCCAGAGTAGCTCGCCAGTGGATCCTGCCGAGTATCTCGCCAGAGTGGCTCGCCAGTGGATCCCGCCGAGTATCCCACCAGAGCAGTCCGCCAGTGGATCCCGCCGAGTATCCCGCTCAGTATCCCAGAGTAGCTCGCCAGTGTATCCCGCCAAGTTTCCCACCAGAGAAGCTCGCCAGTGGATCCCGCCGACCCGCCAGAGTAGCTCGCTAGTGGATCCCGCCGAGTATCCCGCTGAGTATCCCTTGCCGGTGGATCCTGAATATCCGGCCAGCATCGAGCCGCTCCAGCATTCGCCAGTGGATCCCACCAGTATCCCGCCAGAGCAGCTTCGCCAATCTGGTTTTGCTTAATGTCCCGCCCGGCGCACAGTTGGGTTTACATTTCATGTTGGTGCCTTCGTGTTTTGAGTGTGCCCTGAGGCTTGGAAAGGGTGATGCTTTTGTGTTGCTTTGGGTTGTGAATAAGCAACTTAATTGAATCCCCCGTCGGGTTTCTTTCTGGAAGTGGCTTGGCTCTTGTAAACGGAGCCGATGTTTGAGTTCTCGAGATCGGCTCGCAGACAGAGTTTGACACACAGACAGGTGGATAAGGCTCTCAACGCAAAGCTTGTTGAGCAGTCGTAGGCCCCAAGCCGCTCGAAAACCATGCTTGAATTCACACAACAGTGTTCACGGTCGTAAGCTCGTGAGTGGAGGGGGGGAGGGTATTCGCATTGGAGGCCCCAGCTGCGTCTCTTGGATTCATGGTGTGCACTTGCCTCGAGTGGCAGTCATGAGGTCGCTCCAGTGGCCAAGGCAGCTCTGCGAATCTGTGGAGCTTCAAAGACGATGGTATTCATTTGGGTCGACGTCTTTTTCGGGGGCGCCAACCTCTTTGGTTTCAAAGGGAACCCAAAAGAAACCTAAAAATACAATTTTCCGATTCCCACCAAAAAAGAACACACATTTCTTGAACATTGTCATTTTTCACCTGGATTTTGGCACCTGGCGGGTGAACAGTTGTTTCTCAACAGTGGGTGAGACCAACCCCTCTTGGTCAACCAGTCCCCAGATTCAAAGCTGTGTTTGGTTTTTTTCGAAGGGCGCCAGAGGTGCAAGGCCTAGGGCGTCGTTTCGTGAGGAGTCTCAAAAGGATTAGTAGCCCCCAACCAGGGATTTAGCCAACTGCCTGGAGCCCAAACCAGGTCACTGAACGCGATTCGGGGCTCAACCCGAGACTCGGTGATTTGGGTATGGGTCAATATTAGACCACCAGGAATTGCACCTCAGATGTTCGTCCTTTCCATTGACCATGGCAAGCCAAATTGGGGTGGCCCTATTGTTGAACAGACCCTCATTTCAACTTTGGTTTCCGGGTGCGCTAGACGTCAGGAGCATTGGCTGTACGTCTTTGAGGAGGTTGCCGAAAAGCTGGATGCTCGTCTTAGATTCTGTTTGTGTTTGGGGTCTGCGATGTGATTTTCACGTTTCAGGGTTGGTATCCATTTGCTCAACAATTCCTATTTTTGAACTTTCTGCTGTTGGCTTTGAAGGGATTCATTATTGGACATATTTGTTCCAGGGCGCTACAGCAAATGGAGGTGTGCTAGTTATGAAGAATCTGAGACAACACGACCTTGGGGCTTGGGCCATGTTCGCGGGATGAATAGTAACAAGCCCCAAACTTTGCGAAGCCTTGCAGTGTCACTCGCATCGATCAGCCATGTTTTCGGTGGTCTTCGATGTGCATTTTTTGGTTTTTCCGCTGTAGAAATCAGAAGCATTGAATGCATGGTTGGAATTTGCGGTGGGAACCAGGCCAGACAACCACAATCTCCCCAGTCCTGGGAATTTGCTTGATTTTGTCGATCATGTGGAGTTTGATCCTCCACCAACGGATCACCAGCATCGAGAATGCCATTTTTGAGAATGCGGACAAGGACCTTTGCGAGACTTTCGAGCAACATGCAGTCGGCCCGAACCCGCCAGCCTGGGAATTCACCTCAACTCCGACACTCTCGTGCTGGTCCACGCATCAGGCAATATAGTCCGACTGTCGAAGCACCTTCGTGAATATAGAGGGCAAGGCCGCTTCGATGTACCATCCCTCCAAGTGCAGAAAGGAGAGGATGGTTTGTACTTGACAAATGGATAGTTCCGAGTGCTTCTCCGACACGGTCGCACGTACAAGGTCGACGACCTGGGCGGCAACGTTGCAGGAATGATCGTGGTCACTGGTACGAGTTGCCGGGTTTAGGATCTAGATAGCATTCGCTTCGACGGCTAACTTTTGAGGTCCGCGGCGAGAATAGATAGAGCGCGACAAGCACAAATATATGTCATCATTCCAACTCCACAAGACTCACCGCAGTTTCTTTCTGGTGTAATCTTAGGCCAATAATTCAGGAAATTGCCTTGGGGACAGGTGGTTTGGTATGACTTTGACATGAATCAGACCTGTATCAAACATATTGTCATGCCATGAGGTTTGACACTGTATATTGCATCCGGATGCAACTCTGCAACCAGCAGAAGTTTCCGGTTGTGTGTGTGTGTGTGTCTGTGTGTCTGTGTGTACAGTTGTATCCAAGGAGGAAGGTCGGGATCACTTTGTCGATGTGAGCAAAGCTTTTCAGTCCCTCAGTCCAAGACAGACTTCCACCATAGGCCTGTTTTCATGACCTGGGTATTCCAAGGGAGTTCATTGTATCCTGAACTCTTCACTGGCTTCCGCTGGAGTTTGTTCGATTGGTTTGCAGTGCATTGCCATTTCCCTATGGAGTCCCTTAGTGGTAGGGGGGTTCCCCGAGGCTCCAACCCTACAAAATTCCCAGTGCTTCTCTTAATTTCCCACCCCTCGTCCCCAGCCTCCCGGATTCCATCATAAATTGGTGGACATAAATGGTTCCAGGGCCACAATAGATGACAGGGATTCCTATGAGCCACCATGATCCATAGTTTTGCAACTGCACACCTGAAGCCAGCCTAGGCCAAACCACAGGAGGAACTGGGGGGAAGGGTGAGGTTAGGCATCGTTTGATTTAAAGAGAGGAATACAACGTCTTCAAAAAAACACGAGGCCACAAGGTATTTGGTCTGAAGCCAGCTTCAGCCCCAAAATGGGCTGTGTTCAACGAAGTGCTGTCAGATTGAAGGTCCCACCTGCCGAATGTTAAGCAGCATGTCAAATGGCAAATTTCCGGGGCTGGCCCCAAGAGTCTGTTTCAACTGTTGTTTAAGCTTGTTCTCCTTGGCTAGGGTATGCTTGCTTCAACCTAAATATATGTTCTTCAAATAGGGAGGCCTCACAGAATGCGAAATGTGTGGTCTACCCTTGGTTTCTCCTCAAAACCTGCCCCCAGGTCCTCCAGACATTGGCCAACTCCCCCAAATGCCGCGGCCCCACTATGGCTCTGGCCTCACTCCTCGCTTGCCACGAGGACTCGAACTCTGCAGAAGGGGAGTGGCACCAAGCCTTGGCTCAGCTTCAGGAGGCCAGGTCCTGGTGTTGGCTTCTGTCTTTTTGAGTTGGAACCTCCTTTTTGATGTGGTGTTTGTCTTGTGGCTTTAAAGGACACCCACGGTGATATTGATTTGGTACCCCTTTTTGGTCAGGATGTCCGAGTTATTGTTTTGTTTTGGACCTAAAGTGGTGATCGTCAGGGGAAACCAACAGTAAATTGAACAACTTCAGGGGAGGTTTCCAGTGACCCCTGTCCAAAGGGGCGGTTCTTTCCCGTTTGTCACCCGCTGGCAAAGCTGGGTTTTCAATACAGCCAAAGGTTATGCTTCAATCCCTGTTTGTCAATAGTAATTCGCCCTATATTTTTTGTTGTCGGGACACAGAATCTAAGCAAAAAGGTGGTCCAATTCTGTTTCCACGTAGCTGAATTGGCAGCGGCTGTCCAAGCTTCGGTCCTAAGTCGTCAGCACTTGGAGATCTGGAAAGAGATGGTTCAGTGGCTCAGTGCTTCAGTGGCACCATTTTTCTGTTTCCCCCTTTTTTTTCTGGTGGCCCCAAAAATGGTCTGCCCCAAAAAGGGTTCCCATTTTTTTCTCCAGGGTCACTGAGCAACTGGGGTGGTTCCAAGTCGGAGTTCCTCTGATTTTCTTTTGGTGGAAAACGGGCGGTCGGCTTTTCCCCCAAAATTCCCACCCCGATTTTCGAATCCCATTCGAATTGATTCCCTCGCCCCTTTCAGATCCGGTTCGCACCTCGAGGCCAACTGGGCGCGCTACGTCGCCTTGGCCCAACTGGGCTGCGGCGCGGCGTGCCTGGAGCAGCCCTTCGAGTCCCCAGCCTTCGAGCCGGCGCCCGCGCTTCGAATGGATCGGCGTGTGTCGGGCTGTCGGGCTGCCGGCGTTTTGGGGTCAGTGGGGCTCTCACCGTCTTGGGGTTTCAAAGGGAAGCAAGGATGAAACCAACGAAAACACGGAGGAATCACCTGTTTTGGTTTGATACAAACCCGTTTTTGGGTGGTTTGAAAGGGAAGCAAAGAGGAAACCACCACTTTTGGTGTTTGTCCCCGGTTTTGGGACACCTTCACCTGTGGCTTTCTACATTTTGAGGCCAATTTGAGTTGAGCTTCCTTGTGATGTAAGGGGAAACATAGGGAACTCTATGTTTTACTTCCTGAGTCGCTGAGCACATTTCAGCGGCAAACAAACAGTTGGGACTATTTTTAGGCAATATACCCAGAGCGTGAGGTACCTCGCGCTGCATTGATGTGTGCAGTATTTAGCCGTTTTCTTGAGGTTGCTCTTGAAAACAATCCCAAACAGGGTGCCTCCAAACACTACACTAACTTCTGCAGTTCTTTGAGACCATGTTAGTGGCACATTTGCATGTTTGGGCAATCCATGCCGAAAGCGGGAAACGCATACTTCCCCCCCATGATAGTTGGTTGTGTCGGTTTTGTGATGCTTGGATCATGGGAACCCCCTACTACAATTACCCGCTTGTTTTAGGGTATCGTGTCAACGCTTTACCAGGCTTCAGGGGTTTGGTTTGGTGTATCGGTTTGGCCACGGAATTCATGGCTAGGAGCTACTGTGGCTGGCCCTCTCGGAGCTTCGCCCAGGTGGGTTTGCCGTTCGTTCGATGCGCTCCATGGAATATACCATAAACGCAGGTGGCATCCCCAACAGCGACCCCCCATCCTTCTGGAACCCTGGCCCGAACACAAAGACGAACTCTGTAGCCTGGGGCGGAGACCCAAAGCTAGCTGTTGAGGTCCACATTGGACGCACGGTGTCCTGTCGTGGGGTTGATCAAAAGGTCCGTGATGCATGGGAGGACCATCGGGGAAATCCACGAAAAGATAATATGTCCATATATGTCCCACCAAATGGCAAAAGTTACCCATGGTCATTTGGGGGCCAGGAGTATTAATCAACCACAGATACTAGTTGCTCTCCTAGGTTTTAGGAAAGCCAGTAGTCTCTCAGTCTCTCAGAAAAAGCAAGTTCGCTGCAGGCAACTCGTAGGGGTGAGCTGGGCATGTGGTTGAGACTGGATGGCTGACGACCTGGTGATCCTTGATGAGACATGTCCCAAACACAGTGCAAATGGGATGCAGCGAAGATGGAATTCGGCGAGTTTCAAGCTTTGTTTTTAATTTGCAATAGGTGACATTGGCTTCATGGAGACTGGTGAGCATGAAGCTTTGGCCCTTGAGCACACGAAATGTTCCCCATTTCGAACACCAGCAGAAGCCATTCAGGTGGTGTTTTGAGGGGCAACACGCAGTCAATAAGACGTGTGCTGTTAATTCCATCATGCTGAAGTCCAACTGCCACGGTGACTCTGGGGGATAGAGGATGTTAGATGTCCCACGGAATCCATGTAGATGGCTCCAACAGTGTTTTCGAACGAAATATGTTTATATAGCCTCAGCGGTCGTTGATTCTTGGGTTACTTTCAGGGTCCGAAATCATCAGAACGGGGTTGTGGTGTACTCGAAACCAAACTTAATCATTACATGTCACTACTAGTTGCTAGAAAAAGGTAGTAAGCTGCTGATTTCCGTGCACAGCTAGCACAGTACCAGGAGAAACTAGATAGAATTTGGTTACAAGCTGCTGATTTCGCCTGTGAGATGCCTCAAAGGCGAACACAGCACCACAAGCTCCTCGATCCCGGTGCTCAACTTGGCATTTTCAAATCGCAGGTGCCGGACTCACAGACGGGGAAGCCGAGGCCAGAGGCTGATGGGGTGCTGGTGTCTCGAATGATGGCCGATGGACCCTTTTGGTGTTGAAGGGAAGCCATCAAGAGACTTTTGGTGTTGAGGTTTGGGTTTCTCAAATCTGTGGCAGTTTTCTGGATGAGTGATTTGGTTCGAACCTCACGCACTCGCGACACTAGCTACCACACCGGGCATTTGTTTGGCGTCAGCAGGAAGGGGGGTCTACAACCTCACCCACGAAGGCTCCTTTAAGGGGCATCATCATTCACCCAGCTCAATGGCAACCCCAGCTATTCGACGTCGTTTACCCGGGTTGCTGAGAGATGACCAAACCCCCAAGGGTAGAGAATCGGCCAACTTCGCCGGCCAACTTTCCTTTCGCCCTGCCAACTTTCCATGCTTGGGAAACGCTGCATTTACTCTACGCGGGTCGATTGATTGATCCGGGGTTGACATGGCACGCGCAGCCACTGTGTGTTGTCCATGAGGCTGTGGAGGCGCCATTGGTGACGAGAGCGCGGCTCGAAGCTTAGTCTTGAACTTCCTCAGGACGGTAGCAGTTGGCCAAACATCGCAGAACACTTTGGAACACTTAGATGCCAACTTGGGAAGTGTTTTTTGTTTCCAATGTTTTGCTCGTGTTGTTTGTCCACCCAAGTTGTCATGAGTGCTTCAATATGGGCTTGTCGTTTTCTTGAGGAAACCTTGAAGGGTGCAACAGTTCGTATAAAACCACTTAAAGAAAGTTCGGAATTCGTTTGGCCCATCCACTCAAGCGAGTGGCTCCCACATTTTGGGGTTTACCGAACATGTCCCGTCCAAGTTTCGTTTTGTTGCCCCTTTTCAATGTGTGCCACCCAGATGGCGATTTTTTCCAGAGCCACGTGTGCGGTGAAAATCGTGTCTTGCTTCTTGCTGGAGCATTGGCTTGCTTGGAACACGGGAGATCAAGCTTGGCTCACGGAGTTTATGGACATCGGGACCCAGGAGACGCTTTTGACTCACGGAGTTGCCCATCAAAGCGCACCACAGACGGAAGGCGCCGAAGGGGCGATCGGTTCCCCGTAGGGGATCGATCTCAAAGGCGGCCGGCGGGTTTTTTGGGAAGATCTCACCTCGGGCGCGGTTTGGTTTGCATGACACTTGCTCCGGAGCAAGGCTGAAGTCGCTTTGAGAGGTCTTTGCGGGGACCTCTCAAACTATATCCTGTTGAGTCTTGATCTTCTATATGGGCCGGAATCAAAGAATGTCACTTTGATGGGGCAAAAGTAAATCTGAGGTTCTTGACCGCCTTGTGGCAGGTCCTTGATGGAATCTTCAACCCTCAAAGTTCAATGACCTCTAGTGATCTCGCAATTTTGGTTTCGCCCGCTTTTTCATGGGGGGCTAGGGGGCTGGGGGGGAGGGGGGAGGGAGCCCAAATAAGCCCTTAAGCCCTTAAGCCTTGTTCAGGGCTTACTTGGGCTCTCTCCCTCCCTGCCCCGCAGCCACTTTTCATTCGCACGCTTGGATTTTGTTGCGGGCTTTAGGTCTCCAGCTACTTCCGCACTCGCCCCATCTGAGACAGGCGCGCAAGGCCGGGAGGAGTTCGACTAAATCAAACAGCGATGCTGAATTGAGAAGGAAATGCTTGGGTATTCGGCCAAGTTAGTCAGTCAGATGTTGGTATCCTAGGTCATAACCAACTCATATGTACCCCCAAATTAAGTGGGGTTAACCTTGTTATCAGGTGCGATTGGCTCACCACTAACTGGCCGAACTTCCAAGCAGTATCAGAAAGTATATCAAGTGATGCCCCAATTAGACAGCATGCCTGTTCCATCGATTGCCAATTCCCTGGTAAGCAAGGAAACCAGCATTTAAAAGCCAATTTGTGGCAAAGGGCTGCCAATACAGATTCAGTATTGATGACATGGGTACCCACATGCCAACACCTGGAGCAATGCATGTGGTCACTGGGATGCACTGGGTGTCTCTTATACTTTTTCCAACTGACACCAGGAAGACGGCGCAGGATCCTGCATTCTCCAACTCGGTCGGCAGAGAGGAATATGGGTGGTTTTGCTTGAGGGTACCATTCTTGGGTTTTGGTTTAAATGGCAACCATCAGGAAACCACCATTTTTGAGCCTCCCCCTATTTTCACACATACCCATCTACTCGTACTTCATTTTTTTCGATGTAAAGAGTAGCAAGGCAGCATCTTAATTGAGGTTGATTATTGCCCGTCCGCGAAAATCATCACGAAATTGATTGATTGGTCATGAGATTCCACAGGAGCGAGCTGCGTTGCATTTTTTTACATGCCACATTACTGGGGTTTGTATCTCAGGGTCTAAGTGCTTTTGTCTGAGTGCTACTTATTGGCTTTGGTCTACAAGTAGATGCTTCCCACTAGATTGTTGGTTCCTTCGGAGGAATTAATCCCAGTCACAAATTACCACTCACTTCCTGAACGGAAGTACTGGCTCGCACCAGCCCAAACTGCTGCTGAAACCTTGAGTCGATTGAGCTATGGTTTTCAGTTTGGCCAGTGGCTCTCTGAGTTTTGCTCGCTTACGAGCAACCGCCAGTGCGAACACGACTGTGAATGTGCAGGTGGCTAACACTCCAGGTGCCATTCAATTTGCCAACACGCCCGGTGCGATCCAGGCAGATGCAGTCACGGCTTTCAAGAATGTCCACTTCGTCTTCGATGTCAACAAGGGCATCACTCAGATGGCTGCGTATGGCAGTGCAATTGTTGTGGTGTACGCTGTAGCAATCAGAAGCATTGATGATCGGAAGTTGCAGTGGGAACCAGGCCAGGCGAACACATTCTCCACAGTCCTGGGAGTCTTCTTGATTCTGTCCATCATGTGGAATTTTGTCCTGCACCAACGCATCACCAACATCGAGACTGCCATTGACCAAGCTGATAAGGACCTTATTGACACTTTCAATCAATATGCAATCGGCCCGAACCCGCCAGCTTGGTTAGTCACGCTCAAGGCTTTTTACGACAATACCAATCGCCACCTCAACTTCGACACCCTCGTGCTGGTCCACGCATCAGGCGATATAGTCCAACTGTCGAAGCACTTTCGTGAATATAGAGGGCAAGGCCGCTTCGATGTACCATCCCTCCAAGTGCAGAAAGGAGAGGATGGTTTGTACTTGACAAATGGAAAGTTCCGAGTGCTTCTCCGACACGGTCGCACGTACAAGGTCGACGACCTGGGCGGCAGCAATTACACAGTCACAGGAGTGATCGTTGTCACTGGTTGCTTTCCAGAAGGGAACGCACCAGGGCAGCTCCAAGACAATCTGGAGGATTTGCTCGCCAAACATCGTGCCAAAATTTGAGCTCACCGGCAAGCACGTTGCAAGCTGAGAGCAAACCAGCTCCGTACTCATTTCAACACAGGGGCCCTGCACCTCTCACCCGCTGTACAGCCGCCTTTATACATCGGCCCCATGTCCCTGCGAGAAAAAAAAGAAGGTGAATTGTTTACCTCCACACCTCTAATGTAGCGTCAGTTTGTTAACAACCCTGGTACTCCTTTAAGGGAGCCTTGATAGCCATGATAGCCAACAAACAAGCAGCTCAAGAACCCCGACTTCCATGTTCAGCAGCTTGAAGTGACCACTCGAATTCCATGACCCATTTTCCCGCCAAGCGACTGGATGACAGGGGAACCATATTTTTAGTAGCAGGGGACTTTGGAACCTAAACCCCATTTCCGAGGGAAAGAGGTGATTGGGATGTTGATACATCATGATACATCCAAGCGATAATGACGCCTTTCTCCTTGGAATGACATTCTTATGGGGGTGCGAAGGGCGAAAGGATGTGAGTCAGCTTCTAGTCTCTACACTACACTAACCAGCAAAGTTTGCACTGCCCAGAAAACGAACTGAAATGAAACGCACACCGGAAAGCACCTCTGAGCGAGACAGCCAGCTTGAGTCAGCTTTGGAGGACTTCGCATAGGGTTCACTGAATGTTGAGTGCTCGAAAACTTGGAGGTCCAAAACCTTCAAATGGTCCCCTCCGGCGGGTTCCATGTGGGGCAAAAGCTGAGGAAGACCTAGAGGGCTGGGTGGGGGCTATGAACCCTTTCCCGGCCTTTGGGGTCCTTACCTTCCACGCTTCTCCAGAGATTTTGCAAGCCCAGACCCCAACAAAAGGTTGTTTAAGGGCCTAAAGAAGGTGCAAAAAGCTAATGTGTCAAGCGTCGACTCTACTGTTTGTTTCTGTTGAAACTCAACTGTTTCAAACCAATGGTTCAGCACGGGTCTATTTTGGCTTTCGGGCGTCGCAGGCGTCGTTTTGCGGCTTCTTCCCGCGGAGCTCTTGGCCGGTAAGCAGCTGGATGAAGTGAAGTTCCTCAGTTTTCCGGTGAGCACCGCGCCTGAAGATTTATGTCGCTGGGTTTGTGGTTTCTTCTTTTCTTTTTGCTTTTTGTTTGGGGAGGGGGGGGCGTCACATTTTTGCGGTGGCAACACCACCTGTTCACTTGGGATTGATGAGTGATGACCTTTTTTCTTATATTCTTTTGAGGGGTGGTCTTTTATTTTGACTGGTTACCAAAGTCAGCCGGGGTTTCCCTTGACCAGTGGCATGGAGTTGCGCTTCAGCAACCCGTGTTGGAAAGCCACACGCCCATGGGCGCTGAGAGCTTCCAATAAAAACGAAGCACTTGGCCGGCCGGGTTTTGTCGTTGGGAGGAATTGATGTGTGAGAACCCAATAGAAACACACCCTTTTCCCATGATCAAACTGCCAAAGGCCTGCCTTTGTTGGCTCTGGGTCTTGTCAGTGTGTTTTCTTGTTCCATTTGCAGCACACACAGCTTTTGCAGGGGGTAAACCGGCCATGCCGTGTCCAAAGTTTGCAACAAAAGTCTGATCTGGGTCTGAGGTCGGGGGTTAGCCTTGGTGAGTCAGGGAACGTACAAACCATCCCCAAAGAC